AAAGGACGTTTCCTGTGAGCTGCAAAACTCTATGTGCTTCTGCGCGAACCAAGCCTGTCGATGTTTCGCAAGTGTTTCTTTGCATCCTTTCTTCTTCGGGTCTTTCTATAGTTTTCTCCTTGTCCCTGGTATGAACTGTTCTTCTGTTTCTTTATTACGGCATCTATGTGTTTCTGTCCTTCTTTCTGTCCCATGTTTTGTCAGCTCGCTCTTTCGTGATGTCGTTACTGTTTCGTTCGTTGACAATGATGCATGAAGTTCAGGATGTGCTAGTGGTTCTGATGGTCGCCACCCCCCTTCTCCGCCGGGTGAAAAACGTGGTCTAGACGTGCTTGGTTACTGCTGCACCTTCTTTCGCCTTTCACTTATGCACTGTGAATGTGGGTACCTGGTACTCCCCGACATGCAGGCCAAAGGACGAGAACATTCATGCCTAAACATGATAACAAAAATCGCATGCTACTGGGACGCCGACGAGAAAACAGAACACAACCGCAACAGTTACACTTAACGACTCGCAACTTCAGCAACGACCACAATAATCAAGGGGTCATCAAACGATTTCACCAACTACAGCGAGAAGAGCTGCGGAAGCATCAACAGTTCCACCAGCACCAGCAGCAAGAACAGCAACAGCAACAAACAACATCCACCACTACAACCACAACGACGAGGACATGAAGAACCAAGCAAGCCTGCAGCTGAGACTCGGCCAGCACCACGAAGTTTAACCAAAAAGCGCTGTCCCGCTCGAACTCGGGACCCAACCAGAAGTTGTGTTCGAAACCTCCAGAACTTCTGTAACAACTGGGGCAGGTTGATATGTCAATGTGCAGGACGGACACAGTACAGCAATCTAAACCTATCGACGAATAAATGCATGGCACGGTGGGTCAAGCAAGTACCCCTCCAGAGTACGATTCTAGAGTCTGTTGCCGCCAGGAATGGCTGGACTGGCCTTCCCATTCCTGGCATACACTAACATGATGCGTTGCTGACTTAGATGCCCAGCCTTACTTGCTGCCGAGCTTGCTTCATGGTTTGGTCTTGGAGTCCGTTCTAGACTCAAGATACTTTCAATACCCTCGTGCTTTCTGCATTCCCTGTGAATGTGTCTGAGTTGACGAGGCAGGTTCGGCGCCGCGATCATGACCAATGCTTATAGCAGGCCTGGGCAATATCCCATCATGGGGCCCCCTCCTTTGTAGACAGGGTGGTCCTGGAAGATGTAGACCTGGGCACATGAGCCACTCACATTTTGTGGGGCAAGCGGGGCCTGAGAGTTTTTGCACGAATCCCTTAAGGCCGGAAGAAAAGCCGTTACGTTACAAGGCGTTAGCCCTGTATCATGAGTGACCAGTGCCAGGAACAACACTTCGTCAGCGACACTACGTGGGAACACCGCCACGAACCAGACCTGCAGCCTTCCCTGAAAACAACGCATTTTCTACGTTCACGAGCGGTTGACGTGGACTTCTTGGGCAGTCTAGACCTCGGAGAGCAGCCGCACTGCCGACAAAAAGATACTACTGCCACTAGAGGAACTCTTCTCCTCCTCCTGTACCTGCTGCTGCTATCTACTTCAATCGTATGCTGGTCCCCATCATCCTGCTGACAAGAATGGCGCAGAAGAGAGATATGATGATAGTTCCTAGAGTATATCGTCTTTAGGCCGGAGCACCGTGAGCTCCCTCCCCCGCTGCTCATCGGGCCAGGAGTCGAGGGCCTCGGGTCCAGTGGACCGCACGGGCGCCGATGTCTCTCGCAATTAGAGCTTGTGCGTGGTTCAGGGTTCGGGAGTTTAGAGGTTTTGGACGTTCGGCTTGAAGAGATCAGGAGGCGTCCGGGAGGGAGTTGCGGGAGGCGGGAGCACTGGCCTCTGCCACCTGCCTTGTGCTTCTTCCTTCTCCGTTATTGTTCAAGAAGAAACTCAAAAGCTTGATGGTGCATCCATGCAGACAGGATAGAAACAAACAGAGAAGCCGGCATCACAGTAGCAACAAGGAGCCAAGACTCCATCAGTTGTTCTTGGTGGTTCCGTGAGTGTTAGGAGAGGACACTCATGGAATGCACCTATTCCGGCCAGAATCCAGCTAGTTCTCGCAGGAAGGGTTGAAGTACCGTGCAAGTTGGGTGCAGGTCGGCTTTCTTACATGCGCATGAAGTTTCAGAACTCTCTGGAAAAGGGCACGCGCTGGCACATAGCCGCCTTCCCGGAATCCCAAGCACGAGATCTCTTGCTCGGAGTCACAGAGTCACAGGCACAGGACTTCAGCCTTCAATTTTCGGACCGTGGCTCACAAACCTCAATTCCCAATCCCGCTGTGGACCGGGAATCCAAAACCCAGAACCGTAAGCCCATGGGTGGGATCCGTGCCGTCGGAGCTTCAAAAGACCAATGAAGCAACAGTCGAGAAGTATGCGACATACTCGACTCCTTCACACTGGCTGAACTGATGCTCCCGAAATTCAACTATAAACCCACTGCCTGTTAAGCTCAACAATAACTATAACACATGAATGCACCAATGATAATCCGCACTTCCGGCACTTCCGGAAGAGCCATCCCACTGTCGCGTTCCGAGGCTCCTCTCCTGCGACGGCTTTCATTCCGAAGTCACAGGCCTGCCCGGGGCCCGTGCGGCTCAGAAAAGTTTGGGTCACAATCTCGGGTGGCTCGTCTTGGCGTGGTGGAGTTGAGATGAAAACTGCCAAAAAGAGAACTGTTGGTGATCTGCTCCTTGCGTGGCTCTCTAGACCATGACCATGTAAGCTGCAGTGGGAGGCTTCGCAGGATCGAATTGCCGCCAAGAACATTCCCAACGGGTTTACCAAGAAGGTTCTGAGCCCATGTATGATTCCACGAAACAGAACCGTAAGGACCAGACCAACTCGTTGAATGCTAAATCTACCCGAACAATCCCCGAACCGGAATTCTGCTTGAATCCCCGGCTTTTCTGCCAACTTTCTCAAAGTCAAGCCCTGCTCTTGTCATCGCCAGTTGCAGCGAACATACGGAAAATGCGAACAGCAATCGGAATAACCAGAGTAAACACGGCAGTCAACCGTAGTGCAAAGCTGCTGCCGGGGATGCCTGGCTTAGGAAGAGCTCAGACATCACGTTCCAAGCCCTGCAATGGGTTTCTGATGGCCGCGGGCTCGACATGACAGAAGCAACACCAAGAGCAGCAGCAGTAAAGGGCCAGAAACGTTTTTCGACACAAGATCCCAAAAACGCAAAACAAAACACCTAAGTGTCCAACCTCACACCAGGAAAGCATGTGTGCTGGGCGGGGAATAGCTAGGACCCAGCCGAAATGTGAAGGAACCACAGCAGCAAACATTCAATATTGAAGCAACTCCTTGGGATGAGGTGGTCCTCATCTGTTTGCATGTTGAGCTCTCCTGCACCGTGGCTGTTTTGCACCGAGGTGGGGTAACAGGCCTGGGCACGTCGCTGATGTGAACGGAGAAATGCAGCTTCCAGTCGGGCAAGCGATGGTCGTGCTCGTTCTGTGCAAGCCTCAAGCAGTCCAAAAGTGCAGAACTGGTGCACAAAATCTCCAACGAGGGCCTGCAGAAGCCTGCGCAACCCATTCGGAGGATTTCGGAGGTATGCATGATCAATCCTCGGGCTCAAAGCCTCAGCCCCACCCTCAAGCCCAAAATCCTGACGAACTGGACCAAAGCCCCGAAGACTCCATTGATGTCACAAGTCAAGTGTACGCCCTATCAAAGAGGGTCATTTCAGCTCAGGCTCCAGTAGACGCGCCCACGCTCCGTGCACAGACGAACGAAGCCGCCAGTGTGCAGAATCTCGTACCTTTGATTTGATATACTCTACCATACATTACTATACCAAAACGTTGAGGCCTATGGCCTATGCATGTGTCTTCGGGTTCAAGTTGCAAGTAAGAGAGGGCACATGATGTGCAAGCACCTAGATCTGCAGCCAAAGGGCTCGGTCGAGCGGAAAGACCTACCAATGCCTTGTCTGGCACGGCTTCACAGGTGTCATGTCAAACTTCAGACAGTTGCTGATTGAAGGGACACAGACTCCTGGCCTGTTTTCGCCTTTTCGCTTCTTGATAAACCCCCACAACAAGACCTGAATTGAAGCGGTCTCCGAGAACCCAGATGATGCCTTGAGTTCATTCGAGTGGCAAGTGCGTTGAACCTGGCATCGAGGACGGCTTGGGCCTACACTGAGATCCTTCCATGCCTAGGCTAAGGCCCAGCCACGACCTTGAGATTACACAAGCAGCGAGCATGAACACAGCTGGAAACGGAGGCAGTTCAAGATGGAGGCAAAATGGAAGTATAATTTGGATGCTTGCCCGGCACATGTAAATAAAAAGAATTGGAAGCACGAGCTTGGTTGTTTGCCTCTCAAGCCTTTACCTTATACCGTAAAGGCTTGGGAGGCAAACAGCCGAGCTAGCTCTGCATTGAGCTCGGGAGGGGGCTTCCGGCCCATGTGCTTTCACCTCCACACCCAACTGCCCTTTCATTCAAGGTGACACTGATGTTGAGAGTTCAGTGGTCAAGGCACTTCACCAACGACGATTCCGCTTAGATGTGTGCTGAAGACTGGTGTCGCCTTAGGCTCGTCCTCCAGAACTTCCCAGCTGAAGGGGTTGGGCGAGGCACGGACGGCAACTTCGGTGCACGTCTCCGTCCTGACAAACACGATTGGATTTCAAAAGCCCCACAAAACCTCCAGCAAGTCAGTTGTACCGGTATCTGGGACTACTATTGCAGCATGTGTTGTTGCCTCGGGTCTCCATGGATTTTGCCCGGCGCATAGCCGCTATGCATGTCACGGTACCAAATACGTGTGTTCGCATCGGGTATCAGATCATGCTCGTGACGAAGTCGGGTGATCCTGATGACAATGCTGACTCGATGCGGCTCTGAACGAGGCTTGTATCTGTGTCAGTTTGCCTGTGAAGGTGAGGATGGTGGTGGTGGTTGTGGCGCTCACCTGCTGGTGCTGAAGCATGGGCCTCCACAAGTTGTAGCCTGAAGCTAGAAAGCCAACGGTCTGCCAAGAAAGTCTCAGCCCCCTTCCGCCTTGTCGCCATAGAAGGTGCCTGTGCCGTGGTGCCACGGGGAACTACCCTTGAGCCAGACGCCTGCAACACCGAGTGCCGGTGCGCAGCTGCAAAGGGCTATCCTCAGCTACAGGCGCCTGGAGTCCACGCGAAAAGCATCGCCGCCCCGAAACCATCTAATCCCTCAAAGCTGGAGGCCTAAGCTCCTTCCGAAAGGCCACCTCGCAAAGGACCCAAAATTGTCTGCATCTAAAACCCCAGCCGATGAAGAGCCAGAACTCATGCCTGGAGTTTTGGTTTAGCTTCATGTTGAAAGATGGCTTGGAAGGTACGCGTGCGTAAATTAAGAATCCCCAAGTTGTGCCACAGAGTCAAATCCAAGTGATGGAAACGACAGACAAGACTAGAGCCAAAAGCAAGCTGGACTTATGCAGAGCCCCACGATAAGCTGGACCGGGTTCGCCGCGTTTCCCATTGTCAGACCACAAAGGGGCCACGTTTGGACCTGAGTGGTCTCGGATCTCCGGTCCAAGTTGCAGCGGAATCTGTTCGATCTGGGAAGCTTCAAGAAATCCAATGCGGAGCTCACATGACCCGACGAGGCGTGGTGTAGCCTGGAACATCACCCACATCCGAAAGCGTGCGACATGGCTCACGTCTGCGCGCACAGCAACGTCGCAAAGGAGAGTCTCAGGCATGCGACGCAGCAAGGCTTCAAGAAACCGCACCACACTTGGTAGTGAAACCGTACCTGGACAGTCTTTTCTCCGTCTTCCGGTCCAGCCTGTCTTTTCAAGCCATCAGCTGCCGCTTTCTCATGCACATATCGGGACGGAGGAAGCAGCACGAAATCCAGACTGTGCTTTCACCTATCTTAGCAAATGTGCTGGTCTCTGCGAACTTCGGACATCTTAAGCTGGCATGCGGATAAGATTCGCGACCATGACTCAGAATCAGAATGTCTGCTGTTCCTCTTCATTTTTCGGTTCCTCAAAAGGTCGAACGGTCGTCGCCTGCGTTACCCTGTGCAGGTTCGTGCCCCGACTTTGTCAAATGTCAATGCCCGATCAAATGCCGATCATGCTGAAAGCCGTGTCCAGAAATACCTTCGCTGCACATACTGCTGTGTGCCTTTGTATCAAAAAAACATGAGGCATGGTTCTGTAGCTGGCCCAACTTAGAACATCGAGATCACATCACCCAAGATACCATGGCTGCCAGGGACCAAGCAATCAGTCTCGACACCTGCACACAGAGTGGGTTCTCGCGAATGTCTGTTTCTTTGTCCTGGGATTTCCTGTCAGGGTGGCAATTGTCAGTTGCCCTATCCTTAAGTAGTCTCGCAACCTTATGTGTGCCGCATACCAACCACGAAGACCGGAACGTACCGCACCCGAGATTCCCGACCATAGCTCCAGGGCGATCGAGATGTTCGAGGATAGCTCTTCAAGTGCAGCAACGCGGCAGTCTCGTGAAGCTGCATCGCATCCCGTTCCATCACCTTCAGTCTGCACGGTTCAAGCGCATGATGGGAGTCCTGTCTGCAAGACCTTCAACAGTGGTTGAATTGCCGGATTTACTTACGACCTCGGGACGACCCCTGCACTTGGCATTGAATTGTCGAGATGGGCACTCATGCATATTGCTTGCCCCTTTTGGCATCCGGACTTGGGCTGTCGGCCGGGAAATTTGCACAGGCAAATATACATCTGAAACGTGTCTGACGAAGCTTAAGCCCTCAACAACCCGCTTCAAGGCCCCATGCTATCTCAACCTTGGTGCCAGAAACCATAACAACAGAAGATCCCTGATCCCCTTCCTCGAACTGAAACTTGCTTGCACCGAGCGATAACACCTGAATCTCATGCCCAACGGAGCCGACCTTGGCTTGTTTGCGATGGAAATCCCGCATCGCCGCGTCCTTGGCATGCGGTTTGGGTGCAAAGCCTCCAGGAGCACGGGCAGCCGTTCACAACAAGGGGTTGCTGGCTCTGCATGCTGCCTGTAACAGGTTCGTCTGCTTTCGCCAGTCCTTAATTCTTAAATCTGCATGTGGTGTTAAACTGCCATCCTCATCCTCAGAGCTCCATGTAAGAGGCCAGGGACGTTAGGATTGCTAGGACTTGCAAACGAACCGTCTTACAAGTCTACGCGAATTGGTGCGTGGGACCCGGAAGTCCAAACAAGAGCCAGGTGTCGTACATTTCGTCCTGGTACTCCTTCTCGGCGGACAACATCAGCTTGCCCACTTCTTTTGCATCCTCATGGGCACGACGCAACCGTTGACCTGCCAGTTCACCATCAGAGCCACGGGCTGGGACGAAAGCTCGGCAATGGACAGGGCTGGCGACACAGATCTGGGAGACAGACGACGTGCACTCAGATACGTGAATGTCGAGACCTCGACCAATTGCCCATGAGAGGAACTGGACTCACAAGCAATGTTGCAACCGAATCCAACATATGCCGCACAACACAGCGCACAAATGCCCACAAAAAGGAGCTGGACTCTTAAGAATCCGCATGTCAATGCTGCCCAAGATGCGCAATTAATCTTTAAGACCCTTTCAAAGCCAACATCAGCTTCATGAGAGAGGGGTCAAAAAAGAAGCCCTGCTGCAGCCAGCATCATCAACATCAGAAGAGGACCATTTGAAAACCTGGCAAAAGAGACAACCACAGGACTCGAACTATACCCCAGAAAGACCCTTCGTGGCAACGAGGTTCCGGCCAGTCCCAGTTGGGGGATAGCTCAAAAACGCGCGACAACTCACGCACCCTGCTCCCCCGTAGTAGCCCAGGCTATCCCAGGCTCCCGTTGTGAGGCATTAAACGAAGCTCGCACAATAAGAACCATTGCAGAAACATGATAAGACAGACCGCAGCCGTAGCCTCGATAAGCCTGCACCCCAAACCAAAACAACGAACATCACCAAGCGGTTTCACTTCAACGTCCCAGTCGCGTTCTGCGGACACGCAGAGGCCCAGTTCGAATGCTGTCTCCTGTTGGTCGAGAATCTTGTCCTCGCTTGGCTCAGGGAGGGACAGAGTCTGAAACATTGAATGCCTGTGAACCGCATCCTATTCTGTAGGAATTTATGTCGCAAGCACACTTGGATCAGCCAAGGTTCCTCGAGCTGCGCGGCCTTTCTCAGCCCCCGCTTCAGCCTCATGCGGCGCTTCTTGGCCCTGCCAGCTGGACAAAGGTGGCAGAATCTGCAGCTCCTGCCCCTGGAGCAGCCAGCACTGCCATGGAAGAAGTTGCATGGCCGGCATTCACCCATGGCATGCCCGTTCGAACCAACGTTCCAAAACAAATCCGCAACGTCAACATACGCCGGCATGTCGGTAGAACACTCCCTGCCAGCCATGTTCTCCGGCCCCTCCGGATCTGCCACATGCACCGGCTGCTTGGCAGCACTTGGGTCCCCATACCAAGAGCCGTCCGCCAAGGAGGCCGCCAGGTTTGCAGCTTCTGGGAACCTGGGATCCGAATCCTGCGCTTCCTTCTCAGGGCTGGATGCCCTCCTCTCGCCCGAAGTATCAGAGGATGGAGCCATGGAGTCGGCGTTCGAGACTTCGACCTCGAGAGGCGCCTCGACGCCGAAATGAATGCAGTGCAATAGGTGTATTAACTGAAGCCCACTCTCGCACGACGCATGCATTACAGATGTGTGTATAAATAAACAAATATAAATATAAATATACATATATATATATATAGAGTTATTTATTTATTTATTTATTTATTTATTTATTTATGTGTTTATTTATTTTCTGAAATAAAGTAACAACAAAGTGGCTTTACATTTATGGCCATATGCACAGTTTGTATGTCTTCAACCATTCGTGTATATGCGTATACATTAGAATGAATTACACAGGCATCACCTCACAAAAGGCCTGCATTCATGGTCTTATAGCTCACAGCACCTCTCATCACATCCGCACCTCCACCCAAACAGCATCACCGGGCGATCGTACCACGCGGGTTCTAGCTTATAGTCGGTCCCGGAACGAGGAATATGATTGGGCGATTGTTGCTGTCGCTGCTTCGGCGGATTTCGGTCAGCAGCTTACGAAAACCCGATCGCAGTGGAACCAAACCAGACCTTCCAACCTGGAAGCCGGACCTCGGCTGATGCCGCCAAGCGCGCCAAGGGAAGCCTGGACATGCTGCGCAAGAGGTTGCGAAGGCCGAATATTCTCCACTGTGGTACTTCCCTGAACCACGCCCCAGGTTTTTGGACTTCGGCGTCGTGCAGCTTTAAGGGTTGCCCACCACAGGGGCTTCAGCTCCTAGTTACGTTCCGGCTTTTTTTTGACTCCCGCGGGGCGCTCAGGGCACGACCTTGTGTTCAGAGTCTTCTCCGCACCGAGGTGGCGGTGGAATTTAAGCTAATTGGCCTTGTCCCTGCATCCATGAACGTGAAACTTTACGAAGGCAACACGGAAACGAAACTTGCATCTAGCTTCATGGCCGGAAAGGAGGGTTCAAGCTCTGCGCATCGCTGCGCCACCAGAACTACAAGAGCTACAAGACTCAGTTGGCATGACTTGACATCCGAAGCACTCGCAGGAACTTCGGTCAGCCTCTGGCAGTCTTCCAGAAGACGCAGTCGGAGGTGCAAAAGGCTTTCGATTCGACTGCGGCTCGCCTCGCCCACAGATGCTTCACTTCTGGCTGACAGCATCATGCCGAAGTGTAGAGGGCGCAAAGGCCGACGGGGCTTGCTCATGGTGAGGATATGGGCTTCGCAGATTTATTTTGCAGGGGGGCGGTGGTGGTGAAACAGTCGGAGGGCTTTTTGCCCCCTTATAGGGCTGTGACGTTGAGAACTGTTTGGTCTGTAATGCGTATACAGTAGTGTCTCAGTAGCATCTACCGTAGGGATGATCAGCTTTGCAGGCTCGCCTCTCTTTAAGCACCTCAGATTCTGACATGGGTGCCCACCGAGCTACGCTCCCTAGCCCTGTCAAACGAGAAGCAAGGACCAGCCGCCTCAAGATCGTTCGCGATGTCAGCAGCCTTGGGCCTGGAAGTCGAATGAAATCATCCAAATGGGGGTTTCCGAAAATAGAAGATCCTAATCTAGTACTCTTTATAGCAGGGTCCTTGTTATAAGGACCCCAAAATATGGTACCCCTAATTTTCGGAAACTCCCAAATGGGAAATGCTTTGCGATGCTGCAGGAAAGAAGGAACATGACATGTCAGCAAAGTCTCAACAGTGGGACTCCATGAAACACGTGCGACAGCATGTGTGGAAGTGGTGATGTCCGCCTCGTGCGAAAATGCACTTGTGATGCCAGGAGAACGCAGCTCATGCTCAGCTCTGGTTGCTACTATCCGAGGCACCAGAGTGCTTCGTGCCGCTTGATCTCGCTGTCGAAATCCGCAATCTGGACAATATCGACACAATATCCTAAACTACTGCAATCCTGACCATGGGCAAGTTAGTCGGTTTTCTTGAAAGCTGCTGGGTCGCAACCTGCGCATACATGGTGGAAGCCATCTGCACAGGCCGAAACAGTTTTAAACGTACTTTACCCGCAACCTGATAGAGATCAGCACACAAAATCAATACTAATGTAGTCATTATGCAATGGTGGTCATAGTCAGCACACGTGTCATGTCATCATAGCAATACAGTCGACACAGTACTATGAACAACCATGCAAGCGACGTGCATACATCTTGAAATCGATTGCATATGCTTTCCGGTCGCCTTGCCTCTGCCCTCATCGCACTGACCTGCTTCAGCAAGTCCTGGTGGCGGGCCTGTTTCAAGAAAACTTGGGTGTTCCTACAGGTCTCTCCACAACTCTCCGGCTAGGTCCTTTTCACTGCGCTGTTTCCGTTACAAGTTTGCCCTGGGCACTGGGCACCTTCCAGTAGGCCACTTCGAGTCGAAGCTCCCTTCCTAAGTATGCCACATGCTCGCCGTGCACGGGCGCAAAGCAGACTGAACAGCCCCTGCCAGCTGCAGAAGGACTCGTGGCTGCAATGTCGGCCAAGCGTCGGAAAGTGGTGTTCTGCCAGTTCCGAGTCTCCCGATCTACGGGCGCCCAGCCCCATACGATCGGCAGCAGAGGCGCAGTCGCCATGAATCCGTTTCTGGCAAGCTCTATGCGGCACGCTGTCTGCAAGCGTAGAAGCAGAAGCCTAGCTGCCAGTCAATGCCTTGCAAGGGTATACTCTCGTTCAGCCTATGCGCACACAAGGCCAGCTCTTCTCGAACCAAAGCAAGACGCCGACATTCACAGCATTTTTGGCTCCCACTTGGCACCGTCAGCATGGAGCATGATAGCACGTGATACTTCTACATCCGATGATGAGATCCCCATCCATGTCCATATTCCATATATTGGCCCACGACTTGAGACAGAACTCCAAAACAACACAACGGCACACTGGGAATTTCCCTGAGATCCTGGCATGATGCGGGCCCATGGGCATCGGCTTGGCAGCTGCCTTCTTTCCCTTGCCATTGTGGGTTTAGGGTTTAGGGTTGCCTTCTTCCCCTTGCCATTGTAGTCAATTTCGGCCCAGGCTTCGGGTGCGCTTGGGGTGTATTCAACATGCATTTGGAGGTTTGGCTATACCAATTACAAGTTTGTTGTGCATGTACATACATAAGGGTATAATGCGGGCGGGGCTCAAGCATATAAAGCTCAGAGCCGATCGAAGCAAAATGCTTCGGAGCCAAAGTCCTGCTTTCCCATCAAAGGCCTGTGACTATCTAGCTTCAACTCTTTGCTGTTCGCATGCTCTTGCTCGTCTATCTTAGCCACGCTTAGTTCTGAACCCCAGAACCAGAAATTCTTTCGCATCCCACCGTCTGACAGAGGCCACTGAACACCCAGGTCAAGACACACTGCCAGTTTGTGCGAGGCATGCCCAAGTGGCACCTCTGGTAGTTATGGCTTCCCCTCTCACCCAGCCTGAGATTCGTCCACCATGGACAGGTTAATATCGTCCAGGACGACCCAGCCGCTGACCTCGCCCTGAGGATCGTCTGTGAGATGACTTAACCGTTCAACCTACCGTGCATCCAGCCTCAAACATTCGTAGAGCGCAGGGATATAGAAGATTATACACTATCATGCACGATCCCATCTATGTCGCGGCATCGTTGGACGGAGTGAGTAAAGCCACAAGTTAAAACACACGCGCAGTCAAAACGAGAGGAATTAGAAGCGAAAACAACACACATACTACTGTCAGCACGAAACACTTGTCACTCAGCTAGCTAGGAATGCATGAGAAATCAGATAGGCAAAAGCGAAGAAAAATGCGAAACCACTGCAAATGCTGCTGGTCCTGCTGCTTTGCGACGGAAAGTGTACACGAGGCGACGGCAAGAAATGCAACAACGAACAATACTTGCAGTACCAATATCATTTCAGGAACAGCAGCATTTCAACAAAAGTGAAAGCCACGATCCCACATTGCGGCTTTTGTCTTGAGCAGGCAGGCCCGATGCGAAGCAAACATGTTCTTGACGGGCTCCATGACACGCCAGTGAAGCTGTGCTGCGCTTTCAAAACAGCGCCGATAAAGTCCCTTCCTGGGAGTTGGAGCGCACGGAATGTCACAAGCTTATCTGCACGGCATGGAGCATGCACTCTCATGTGACATTTGACTGTACGGCACCAGTTGGGTCTCTGTACATCTGGTGGACTTCTCTCGCTGTGCTCGAATCACGGCAGCAAGCGGTTTGTGAAAAGCGACTCAACTTCGATTGCTTCACGGGGTATGGCCTCGCCGGCCCTGCCACGAACGATTCCAGAAGCGCACAAGAAGTCCACAAAGTCGCTCCACCGCTTCGGTTCCATGAGACCCCACTGGCCATCAGGGGTCAGAAATTGCTTGGCGATGCAGGCGCTGGATGCCTCCACAAACCTTGACAGTTCCAGGGCCGTTGCTTGAAACAGCAAGGACTTCACAACAAACTAAACATAACCAGTTACAGTTACTCCATCGCGCACAGTTGAGAAACTCCGCATCCTGCAGGGAGGGGTGGCCACACTCTACCAATGCTTTTGCGGCATCGCTTGGCTTTGCAGCCGCCAGCTTGTAGCCTTCGGCCGTGGCCGCCAGAAAAGCTTTGATCTTCTCGGCCCTTGGGCCTGCCTGAGCCATGCACCCCCTAAACATCCCTAAACCCTAAGCCCGTTCTGTTGTGTGCAACTACCCTTGCTGCTGTTGCTGCAGCAAGTTGCTCCGGTTAGGTTGTTGTTGGGATTGCACACATGTCAATGTAAACATCCTGGTGCTCTTGATGAAATTAAACCTTGCTGAGGCTTCTACCCTTGTTGCTGTTGCGGGTGTTGCTGCTGTTGCTCGTGGTGATGTTGAGGTTGCTGCTGCTGTTGTTGTGGTTGGTGTTCCTGCTGCTGCACAGCACTCGACATCAGGACAACGGTTCAAAGATTTGGAGGTCAACGGGTTCAAGCCTCAGCTTTACCGGAGCGGCCCGCTCCGACAGCAAGCACAAGAAAACATTCCCAACAAAAGCCTAGTGCCAAATCCTCCGGATGAGCAAGCAGCACCGGAGAATATCCATAAGGAATTTTGTAATCCTCCAGGGCAAAGCAATGAAGATGCTGTCCGGCACGCTCGGCCAGAACACCTTCCCATGCCGGAAAGATCCATGTGGAATCCGACCTGCCCTTTTCCAAATAGGAAGCCACAACAGAGCCGGCACCCATCGTGTCACCCTCCTGGTATCCATGAGCAGTCAACCCGTGAAATTGCACTGCCGCACCATCACCACCATCGTTGCTGACCATGCGGGACACGATTGGATCCTCGAAGCGTCCGTTGTAAGAGGCATACCTTTTGCCAGCAAGCTTGGCAGGGCGGTCGATGCCGGAGCTTTTCAACGTGCAGATGGCAGATGCGCTTCCCTGCAGCAGTGCGGCAACAGCAACCAGCCGTGGCTTGTCGGGTTCTGTTGTGGCAAAAGAGATCGCACTCTCAGACGGTGCCACAGCAAAATGGGCCATTTTCTGCGCTACTTGCCGGGCAGGAGTTGTTCCATCCCCAGCATCTGCTGACCGCAATGTGACTTTCAGGCCTGCAGTGGAGTAAAGGCCGGCCATCTGTGCCATGTAGAAACCATTGTGGTTCGTGTTGGGCGTCCAGTCCAGGGCCACAATGATTTCGTCCTCCATTGGCAGGTTACTTTCCGCGAAGCCAGCACTGGCAGTATCCGAGGACCTAGTTGCTGGCCCTAAAGGCAAGAGGCAAAGCTCCTTACCAAGAGGGTAGGAGCCAAGTGTTTCTGATCGACTCGGTGCAAGTGCACACAAAACCCGAGGTCTTTGGCCAGTTCAAAGTCATGAGCCTAGGAGTCCTCAGCGCTTCTGCTATAGAGATTGAATCTACAAACGCTGACGACAGTCCGAGACTCTTTCCAGGCCTCGTGTTTGCGCAACCAGGCGCTGATCTCCTTGGACCTGTGGGCCGGCTTCATCCGAGTTGGCTTCTCGTATCTTCTTATGAGAAATTACTACAGAAGCCAGCAGAGGCCTACCATTAGTTGCATGCTCTTCTCATCATGTTCATGGTCAGTGTTACTCTCCTACAACATTGCCTTAGTTGGTGCTCTTGGCCACAACAAGCAATAGCAGCTCACGAGCCTTCTTGTTGTCATGAGAATTACCAGGACCCTTCAGCACCACCTTGTTTTATGTGCCTCACTACTCTTGCTGAGGCCCCTCCTCCTCGTCATCCTTATCGTTGAACTTTTCCAGCATTACTGTAATGGTCCAGACATAATATCGTTATTTTCACCACCCACCTTGGCCAGCAAAAGTGTCAAAGATGAAGTAGTTAACAACAGCTCCATGACAACGGCAAGGACCATCACCGTCAACACCACGCCGCCTTCATCAACAAATTCGTGATCATCATTGGGGTGCCAACTGAGTGGGGGGGT